CTATCACAGACACAAAGAACAGAGTGCCATATGTGCTGACTCATAAGCAGACCTTGAATAATATAATACTATAAGAAAGGGATTGGCAGTAGTGGGAAACTGTCGGGGGGGGGTTGAGATTGACAGTTGAGGGGAACTTCTGGAGAGGGAAGGGCACACCTCAACAGCAAGGGTACCTGCATAATCAACATTTGTGTATCTAACCCTGAATTGACCCCACATCTTTATAATAAAAAAAGAAAAGAAAAAAATTATTAAAAAACAATGTAACAAAAATGGGCATATATATGTGAAAAAAACTCATCATCACTAATCATCAGGGAAATGCTAATCAAAACCACATTTAAATATCATCTCATTCCAGTCTGAATGGTTATTATAAAAAAGACATATTGAAAGTCATAACCAAAACAGTCAGGCAAGAGAAAGAAATAAGACGTTTCCAAATAGGAAATGACAAAGTGAAATTATCAGTCTTTGCAAATGATATGATTCTGTTCTAGAAAACCCAAAAGATTCCACCAAAAAAAAACTCCTAGCACTGATAAATGACTTCTGCAAAGTCTCAGGATACAAAATCAGTGTTCAAAAATTAGTTGTATTTTTATATAACAACAGTAAACAGGTGAAAAATACAATCTCAGGAGTAAGTGGTGGCTCATGCCTGTAAACCTAGCAATTTGGAAGGCTAAGGAGAGAGAAATGCTTGAGCCCAGGAGTTTAAGACTAGCCTAAGCAACATAGTGACTCTACAAAAATTTTAAAATTACCTGGGCATAGTGGCGCATGCCTATAATCCAGCTATTCAGGAGGCTGAGGCAGAAAGGTTGCTTGAGCCCAGGAGGTCAAGGCTGCAGTGAGCCATGATCATGCCATTGCTCTCTAGCCTGGATCACAGACTGAGACTCAAGCTCATAACAAAAAAAATACAGTCTCATTCACAGTAACCATACACTCACACAAAAGACTTTGGAATACATCTAACCAAAGTGAAGAATGACAGAGATGAACAAAGATAAAAAGTGACAAGACACTGCTGAAAGAAAGATCACACAAACAAATGGAAAAACATCCCATGCTCATGGATTGGAAGAATCAGAATTGTTAAGATTTCCATACTGCCTAAAGCAATCTACAGTCTCAACATAATTCCTATCAAACTGCCAACACCATTTTTCACAGACCTAGAAAAGACAATACTTAAATTCATATGGAAGCAAAAAATTCAAATAGCCAAAACAATCCTAAGCAAAAAGTGCAAAGGCAGAGGCATCACACTGCCAGACTTTAAACTTTACTACAAGGCTCCAGTAACCAAAACAGCATGATAGTAGTACAAAAATAGATACATAGATCAATGGAACAGAATAGAGAACCCACAAATAATACAGCCACTGACCTACAACCAACTCATCTTTGACAAAGCTGACAGAAACAAAACATTGGGGATAAGACACCCTATTCATCAAATTATACTGGGAAAATTGGCTAACCATATACAGAAGAATGAAGCTGGACCTCTACCTATCACTGTATGCAAAAATTGATTAAAAATGGATTAAAGACTAAAACACAAGACCCCAAACTATAAACATCTTAGAAAAAAAACTTAGGAAACACTCTCCTGGACATCACCCTAGGTAATGAATTCATCACTACATCCTCAAAAGCAAAGGCAGCAAAAGCTAAAATTAACAAGTGGGACCTTGTCAAGTATAAAAGCTTCTGCACAGCAAAGTAAACCATCAATACAATATAGAGACAACCCGCAGAAAGGGAGAAAATATTTGCAAACTTTGCATCCAACAAAGGCCTGATCCAGAATCTATAAGGAATTCAAACAGGAAAAAGGCTAATAACCTCATCAAAAAGGAGGCAAATGACTGGACACAGTGGCTCATGCCTGTAATCACAACACTTTGGGAGGCTAAGGCAAGAGGATTACTTGAGCCCAGGAGTTCCAGACCCGCCTGGGCAACATAGTGAGACCTTGTCTTTACAAAAATATTTTTTTAAAAACTGAACTGGGCAGATGGCACACATCTGAAGTTCCAACTACTCAGTAGTCCCAACTACTCAGGAGGCTGAGGTGGAAGAATTGCCTAAGCCTGGGAGGTTGAGGGTATGGTGAGCCATGATTATGCCACTGCACTCCAGCCTGGGTGACAGAGTAAGGCCCGACAGACATACACACACACACAGTGAGCATAGGATATGAACAAATACTTCTCGAAGGCACAAAAGCAGCCAACAAGCATGAAATAATGCTCAGTATCACTAATCATCAGAAAAATGCAAGTTAAAACCACAATGAGATACCATCTCATACCAGTCGGAATGGCTATTATTAAAATGTCAAAAACAACAGATATTGGTGAGACTGTGGAGAAAGGGGAATGCTCATATACTGTTGGTGTGAAAGTAAGCTAGTTCAGGCCTTATGAAAAGCAGTCTGGAGATTTCTCAAAGATCTCTAGATAGATTTACCATTTGACCCAGCAATCTCACTTCTGGGTATATACCCAAAGGAACATAAATTGTTCTACCAAAAAGTCACTTGCACTCTTATGTTTAATTGCAGCACTATTCACAATAGCAAAATCATGGAACCACCTAGGTGCCCATTAGTGGTGGACTAGATAAGAAAATGTGGTACATGTATGCCATGGAATACTCTGCGGCCATAAAAAAGAACAAAAGCATGTCATTGCAGGAACATGGAGACCATCATTCCAAGTGAATTATCACAGAAACAAAACAATACAGCATGTTCTCACTTATAAGTTGGGGCTAAAAACTGGACACACTTGGGCACAAGGATGGGAACTACAGACACTGGGGACTACTAAAAGGGGAAAGGGGAATGTGGGGATAACAATTGAAAAACCACCCATCAGGTACCATGCTCTCACCACCTGGGAGGTGGGCTCAGTAGAAGCCCAGACCTTCTGTCATGCTATATATCTATATAACAAACCTGTATATATACCCCATGAATCTAAAATAAAATAATAAGTTGAAAAAAAAAACCTAGTAGACAAAAAATAATGAATTTTGCAATGATTCAGAGAAAAGAGAACTTGTATACACTGTTGGTGGAAATGTAAGTTAGGTCATTATGAAAAACAATATGGAGGTTCATCAAAAAACTAAATAGAACTACCCTGTGATCCAGCAATCCCACTACTAGGTATATAGCCAAAAGAAAGGAAATTGGTGTATTGAAGAGGTGCATGCACTCCCACGTTTATTGCAGCACTATTCACAATAGCCAAAATATGGAATCAACCTAAGTGTTCATCAGTAGATGAATTAATAAAGAAATTGTGGTACAAATTCACAATAGAATACTATTCATCCATGAAAAAGTATGAGATTCTGTCATTCATGACAACATGGATGAGCCTGGAGGACATTATATTGTGTGAGATAAGTCATACCTGATAATAATAGAAAAGCAAATACTGCGTGTTACTCACTCATATGTGGGCACTTCAAAAGTTGTGCTCGTAGAATCAGAGCATACTGGTCACTAAAGACTGGGAAGGAGAGAGTGGAGGGGTCATAGTGAGAGGATACAAAATTACAGCTAAATAGGAGTAAGAGGATTTTGAATGTTCCCAACACAAAGAAATGATAAATGTTTGAGGCGGTGGGCTAATTACCCTTAATTGATCATTACACATTGTATACGTTTATCAAAATATCACTCTTAGCCTGAGGCAGTGTTTCACAACTGTAATCCCACTAATTTGGGAGGTCAAGGTTGGAGGATCGTTAGAGCTCGGGAGTTAGAGACCAGCCTGGGCAAAATAGTCTAGGGCCTAGTAAAACCTGGTTTCCAGAAGTGAATTTTTGTATATTCTTGTGTGTAAGAATAAGACTGCACTGTAGAATCCAAGTCCCCATTTCTACAAAAAATGTTTAAAAATTAGCCAGGCATGGTGGCATGCACCTGTAATCCCAGCTATTTGGGAGCCTGAGGTGAGAGGATCACTTGAGCCCAAGAGTTCAAGGCTGTAGTGAGCCATGATTGTTCCACTGTACTCCAGCCTGGGAAAGAAAGACCCCCAACTCTAAAAAGAAGAAAAACAAATCACTCTTTATTTTATAAACATGTACAGTTATTAAATGTACATATATAATTATTTAAAGATACAAAAAATTTTAAAATTAAAGTAGATGTGATATGTAGACAAAATCAGGAAAAAAGTTAACATAATGCTATTTCAAGCCACACATTTATACAGTTATATACAACCACAGACTTATAGTTATGTAAAGTAGCCTAAAAATTAAATCCTTAGCTTTCTCTCAGGACTGCTTTTTTGCATGACTTCTAGGGCCATCAGTCTTAGTGTGAATTCCACTCTGTAGCACAAATCCAAGAAGTTCCATGGCACTAAAGTAAAAAGACATACAATCAGTTTCCAGTGACTCCCTGTCTGTGAGGAAAAAGCATGCCTTTTCTTCAAGAGAAACAAAAGTTTTGTTGTCCTGGGACTGAAAGAAATGTCTTACTTGGGTTTTTAAGTAGTGATAACATAGTATATAGTAAACAGAACATACTTGATGATAATAGTATCAAATAAGAATACTTGATGATAATAGTAACAATTATAGTATCCCTCAAAGTAAGCCAAGAACATGTTTCCAATCACAGCTTATTGAAAATCAGCCTTACTGAGAACCAAAATGGTATGGCAAACACAGTTCTCTGCTATATGAAAGAAATGACAATCTGGTTATGTTACCAAAATATATACAAAGCAACAAGAAAATTTTAAGACTATATGTAAACAAACTTATGATTTTATTTTATAGACTATACAGCATATTTCATCAGGAATTGAGGTTAGTCCAGAAAGGATCACAAAAAAAGCTTTAATGTACATAGAATAAGAATCAAGAAAATATATCATTTGGGCAGCAATGCTTTATTTATTAACACTTTGTTTAATAAATAACAGTGTAATCATAAAATATTTTTTATTTTTCAGAAATATACCCAGAGCAATGGACGAAGACCTTTTGGTATCTCTGCCTTAATTGTAGGTTTTGATGATGATGGTATTCCCAGATTATATCAGACAGATCCTTCTGGTACTTATCATGCTTGGAAGGTGAGTCATGAATTTGTTAAAAATTTTTTAGAAGTTCAAAAGATGTAGTCACTGTAAATCCTTTATTGCCTTCGGGGACATGACAAAATTGTTTTATACTTACTAATGGTGGTACAAACTTTATAAATGTAACTAGTCAGAAATTTGATGGTTTTGGATGAATAGATAAACACCTTAGTCTATTAAGTGCAAGGTCTTTACTTTTGAAAAGATGTGATAAACCTAAGTATATAAATGGCCAAGGAAGAGAAATATCCAAATTTATTCTCTCAAATTTATATTGCACCATATAGATGCTTGCTTCGAGTAGAAATAGGAATTGCAAGAAATGCTTGCAATTAATAATTAGATGGAAGTTTAAATTCCTACTGAACTATTTAATGTCTCATCTATTATAGGAGAGTCAGAACATCCCATACTATGAATCTATGGGTATACAGTGACCTCTACATAATTCCTGGAATATAGTTTGCTTTTTTTCTTTTTTCTTTTTCTTTTTTGAGATAGGTTCTCACTCTCTGTCACCCAAGTTGGAGTGTAATGTTATAATCATAGCTCATTGTAACTTTGAACTCCTGAGCAAAAGCAATCCTCCTACCTCAGCCTCCCAAGTAGCTCGGACTACAAGTATGTGCCACAACATCCAGCTAATTTTTAGGTGTTTTTTGTGTTTTTTTTAGAGAGACAAGATCTTGCTATGTTGTCCAGGTATATCTCGAACTCCTGGCCTCAAGCAATCCTCCCACCTTGACCTCCCAAAACATTGGAATTATAGGTGTGAGCCACTGCACCTGGCCTTATAGTTTGTTTTCTAGATAAATTGTTACTCTTATTTTGGCCCCAACTGCAGTATTAAATTTGTTTAATGGTACTGTCAAATCCAATACAAAAGTCTAGAACCTAAAAAAACCTGGTTTCCAGAAGTGAATTTTTATATATTCTTGTGTGTAAGAATAAGACTGTACTATAGAATCCAATAAGTTATTTTGACTTTATTAAAAGATTAAATACAAAGGTTTTAAATAGTTTCATGCAAAGTTTATTTTACTATTGTTAAGAAACAAAGTAATGGGGAAACATTGTCATGATTTGTACATATGTGTTAAGTAAGGAATTTGATTTGAGCTGACCATACTAGTAAGGTAAACTAGTTCATCAGATCAGTAAAGCAGTGAATTATATTCTTTCAACAAATATCAGAATACTTGTTCCAGCTGCACGTCTTCTTTTCATCTGCTTGGATAAACTCATTAGTCATCTGAAGGTATGGATTTATGTGCTGCAAAGATCAGACTTTTTTCTGTCAGTTAGAACTCTTTTACATGTACTAGACTTCTTGTGCCTCCCAAATCTATGCTGTAAACAAACCAAGTCATTGCGCTCTTATCTTCAAATATTTTGAAGGTTGCCATCTTCTGTTTACATTTATCATTACATCATTACTTTTCATTTCCATATCACAGCACAATATTTTCTAAGTTCACATAGTTTTGCACTTTAGTCTGATTGCTTTCTGGGAACATACAGAGAAGTACTTTTTTTTATCAGTATTTTTTATTATGATATTGTGGGGTATAGTTAAGGGTTAGGTATACAAATACGTTTCCTTCAGGCACTCTGTTGATAAGAGGTGTTTCCCTGTCCCCAGACAGATGTTTGCTACCATTAATCCCATCTCCCTCCCCCCCGCATAGTTTCCCACTACTGTCAGTCATTTTCTTATAGTATTACATTGGATGTTCAAGGTCCATTATATGAGTGAGAACATGTGATACTCGGATCTCTGTTTCTGTGAGAGGTCACTCAGTATTATAGACTCTAGTTCCATCCAGGTTGCTGCGAAATTCATGATTTTGTTCTTTTTTATGGCTGTGTAGTATTCCATCGTATATATGTACCACATTTTTTAAATCCAGTCCTCTTTTGATGGGCAGCATGGTTGCTTCCAGGTTCTTGCTATTGTGAACAATGCCGCGATAAACATACGTGTGCAGGTATCTTTTTAATAGAGTGATTTGAGTTCTTCAGGATATATTCCCAGTAGGGGGATTGCGGGGTCATATGGGAGGTTGATATTTAGAGATTTTAGGAATTGCCACACTGCTTTCCACAGAGGTTGCACTAGTTTACACTCCCACCAACAGTGTAGAAGTGTTCCCTTTTCGCCACACCCTCTCCAGCAGCTGTCATTTTTCGAGTTGTTGATAATTGCCATTCTGACTGGAGTTAGGTGGTATCTCAGTGTGGTTTTGATTTGCATCTCCCTGATGATTAGTGAGGTTGAACATTTCTTCATGTGTCTGTTGGCTGCTCGGATGTCTTCCTTTGTGAAGTGTCTGTTCATATCTTTTGCCCATTTTATAATGGCATTGTTTGTTTTTTTCTTTTCAGCTCATTTGAGTTCCTTGTAGATCCAAGATGTTAAGCCTTTGTCAGACCTGGTGTTGGCAAATACTTTTTCCCAGTCTGTAGGCTGTCTCCCTGCTCTCTTGATGGTTTCTTTGGCTTTGCAGAAGCTTGTCAGTTTAATAAGGTCCCACTTGTCTATCTTCTCTCTTATGACCTGTGGGTTTTGGGTTTTGTTCAGGAATTGGATGCCAGTTCCGATTTCCATGAGGGTATGTCCTTCATTTTCTAAGGTTCTTATGGTTTGAGGTTTTACATTTAGGTCTCTGATCCATTTGGAATTAACCTTTGTGCATGGGGATAGATAGGGGTCCTGTTTCAATCTTCTGCATGTGGTCAGCCAGTTTTCCTAGCACCATTTACTGAATAGGTTCTCCTCTCCCCAGTGGTAGGTGGTGGAGGCTTTGTCAAAGATGAGTTGGTTGAGAAATTGAGGCTTTGCTTCTGGAATCTCAGTTCTATTCCGTTGATCTATATGCCTGTTCCTATACCAATACCAAGCTGTTTTGATGCAGAGAAGTACTTTTATCTCAGTCAATTGATTAGGAAAATTTTAAAAATTTTAAATTTGTTGGGAGTTTCCTTGATCATCTTGTGTGAAACTATGCTGTTGTGTCTTCAGGTCACATGATATGACGGGAGAGTGTGAACATTGCACACCACACATTTGTATACTCTACTATCATCATATTACTCATCTTATATACTACACTTTTCAAGAGATGTTCGTTGAAGGAAATATTACGCAGCTCTTTAAAAACTCGAAAGTTTGAAAACTTTTTTGTGTTACATATTTGATATCTGAGATTCAGGGCGTAAGTGATTTTTTTTTAAGTCCACGTTCCTAATTAATGGCAATACTGGAATTAGAACTCAGGGTCTTCTATTTGTTAGTCCAGTGTTCTTTTTACCACATCATGCTACGTCCCTTAGGCCAATGACTTTTTATATATGTTATAAAAATTCTGATGCCCATTCTTGGAAGGGAGAATAAAATCTTCTTACTTAATTTATTCTTCTGGGGACTATGGCACTTTATTAAGAAATGGTTTTTTTTTCTTGGTTTTTGTTTATGTCTATGTTTTGTTTTTAATGTTTGTTTTTTACTTTGACATATACTAGGTAGCCTGATAAAATGTTGCAATGGGCTATTAAGAACACAGCTTGGGGTAGCCTTCTCGGGTCTCCTCCCACTGTGGGAGCTTTTCTGTCCCCTCAATAAATCCTGCTTTCTAAAAAAAAAAAGAACAACAACAACAACACAGCTGCAGTACTGGGAGACAACACTTTGCGGTGCTATATTGTAGTTTTACCAGGTACAGGTAGAGGAAATTGTGGAATGGGTACAGAAGTAGGAAGTTATAAACTGGCCATATGACCTGTTGCAGAAATAAGGATAGAAATTGCCAATAATAGCACTTTGATTTGGGGGTGATTCTTTACCTGGCATTTGACACAAATATTTATTTCTGTAGATTTTGGTCATTAGTGATTCTGTCTTAGTGAATTATAGTGTCTTCCACGCTTTTTAATTTTAGGTGAGTGCTAAGAGAGATCTCCAGAAAATCCTGAGTTCTAGATACTTCCTTCTGGGTCCCATTGTATAACAGTAACTTTATTCTCCCTTGATGATCAGAACAAATCATGCCATGCTTACAGTAGCTTCTTCTTTACCTGCTGTTTCAAAGACATGAGGAATCCAGAATGGCCAAGTGGCTGCCTCAGCTTCTAGTTCAGAAATTATTATGTTCTCTGATAGAAACATCCTCTTTCTTTTTCCCCGTCCCTTGGGAACTAGGGCCTTTAAATTAGCACAACCAAGTGAAGAAAGGAAGAAAAAATTTTACAAATGGGCCATTAAGGATATGAATGAGACACATCTAATCCTTGGCATCTAGATTTGCAACTGTAGGAGAAATTAATTACTGGTTTATGGCTCAGGGTACATACAGGATCAACAGAACCCTAACCCTGTAAGACCTTGTTACCCAGCTGTTGCTATAACTGAGTCTTCAATATCCTATTCTATATTTCTATCAGGTGGGCTATTTCAGAGTAATAAGAGACAGAGTCTATGTTGCCTTGACTGGAGTTTAGTGGTATGCTATGATTGCACCCACAAATAGCTATTGCACTCCAGTCAAGGCAACATAGTGAGACCCTATCTCAAAGGAAGGAAGGAAAGCATTTAGTAAATCTACTGGTGGAGAGGTGACAGATATTATATAATGCATAGAATTCACAAAGATAATTCATCACCGGAAGTTATAAAACATATAAATAGTCCATCATTTAACAAATACTCAACCTATAAAAAATAAATTTATATTACATATCAAGTACTGTTCTAGGTTCTGGGGACATAGAGGTGAACTCAAGACAAAAACCCCTGTCCCTAGGGAAAAGAGAAAGACAGTATAAAAATACAGAATATATATGTATGCTGTGAAATAATTTGACACAGGTAAGGGAAACCCCAATCCCCAGTTTCATTGGAAGTTTCTCTTCCAGTGAGGGCAAACTGCTTCCTCTTCCATGGCAGAAGAGTTCAACATAGTCAGCCTGCCATGTTGGCAGGTTGCTGTGAAGCTCTG